AGAGATATCTGATTGCACATGCTGAAGGAGTGTGCCTGCTGAAGATGGTAGAATACTGTGGTTCCGCGTTACAACCTTCGAGCCGTTGGCCCCTTAAGGGCATGTAATAAGTGAAGTAGTGGCACTTTCTTTCAAACACTATTTTGCTAGTTCTGTAGTTGGCGAGTTTAAATGCTTGTGGGATGGTTATTTTGGTGCAAGTTGGATCGAACCCTATGTGTTCTTTCCAATGTGGCCTCGTATTAGGATCGTCTTATGTTTCGTTTGCATCAAACTCATGTAATTTCGTTGCTATCAAGTAATGAAATTCGGCTATGCAGTTGTGGAAAAAGTCTTAACCTGGTTATGGTAACTTGAGGAACATGAAAACTCGGTTTGGTAAACTTTAATTTTACTATCCCTTATCATTTCAACTCCTGCTTTGCTTTATTTATATCGATGTAGTTTGTTTTAGAATTCTAGTATCTATCCTATTGAACTGGTTCTTCCTGTATATTTTTTAGCATTGGTGGTACAATTTTCTCTGCATATGGAACTGTTATTACAATGCCTCCATTTAAGTCTCTGGGTAGCGCAAGGTTATAGAGTTTCTTTTGTCTGTGTCAAATCAAATGAGGTTTGAAATTTTGAGAAGCTTTAACTCCTGTACAGGGAACATCAATATTACAATGCAGCCTCAGCTACCCTCCTGGCCATTTTCTTGCCGTTCGCTGGTCTGAAAATTTCAGCCAGCCGGCTGATCCCCACTCTCAGATTACTGTTCACCAAACCAGCCAAACAGTATTTTTCTCTCATAACAAACCAGCCGGAACAGTTTTTTTCAGCCAAGTTTCAGACCAGCGAACGGGGCCACAAGATCCATGAAATGCTCATGTGCTGCATCTGTGGATCTAATTAACCCCCATATCAACAGCTTGTCATTTACATTTGCAGCACCATATTTCCCAGGTAATATTCTCATTGTGTCATGCCACTGCTAAGAATAAGGTAACTCATTTTATCTTGCAGTTAGTATTTTGAATATAGATCGGTGAAATCCTCCGCTAAACTCAAATGTAGCTGCTCCTGCAGAAGTATTCTTTTTCCCTGCAATAAAACTTTGTAACCATCTTGTATATTATGAAAAACATGCCAGTGGATCCTAGAAAAAAATATTGTGAATTTGAACTTTTATGCTTCAAAGGAAAAAAAATCTTAATTACACGTACCAGCACAATTTCAAATTTTCACATGGTCAGCTGTGCAAAATGATGTATTGCATCAGTTTTAAATGTTGGAGTTTATGCTAATCACAGTCGAATCGGTAACGCCCAAGATTTTTGTAAAGTGGTTTTATATCATTTTTCTGATATCTGAACCACTGTGCAGTAACTATTTAGCCTTTTACCACATTGTGCAGTAACTATACAATAAGATCATTTAAGCTTTATTGTCATCATCAACTGTGATCTCATACACGGATTTTACAGGGATGATTCATATTTTTTCCCATTTCCATCAAACTATATATTCCGTCTTTGTTACTACTAGTTAAGTATAAAGAATTGTTGTTTGATTGGCCCGTTCTTGGTTGAAGGCGCCAGGAATTGGTTATCTAGGACTAGGGTTAGTCATCCCAAATTTCTCTGGTTCTGAATCGTCTTTCCCATTTCCTGTCGCTAAAACGGAAATACCATATCTTACATGATATCAGGATGTAGAGATCAGGAATGAGAAGCTATAGTTTTCCTAATCCTATGTATCTGATTCAGATAAATAAACCTAGCAAACAAGAAATATTTTCCTAATTTCTTGATTCCATTTTAAATTCCTGTGTCCAAACTGTTTGTATGTAGGTGGTTTATTAAACCTTTGCCTTTTGCTATTGAAAAGAGGCAGATTGGATTGAGAGTTGTGTCAAATACGAGTTCTTATTTTTAGGTTTTGTCCCAAAGAATATCTCTGTTAGAATTTCCTGATAAGCTGTTGTTAGTTAGTTATTGTATTATTATATGTTATTTGGTAACTTCTATGCATGTTTTGTATTGCATAGCTTTTTATGTTACCAAAGATGCCTTGAAATTTATTTGGGTAATGTGCATTATGTATTACACACCACACAGATTGCACTGGATTTCCTTGTATGCATCTGTTGTGAGTATTGTTGCCTTGTGGCTTGTTCACTTAGAACTACAACTGAATATATTTGTACTTGTACATCTTAATGTCGTTTAGGAGACTTAATCACTGTACTTTGGGAGTATTGTTGCCTTGTGGCTTGTTACTTACAATTACAACTGAATATATTTGTAGTACAGTCTTTAAAATGACACCATCCGTCTCCAACTCAATTCTGAACATGCCCACCTCCAATGCAAAAACTAGGAGCTTGCAGACATACCTCAGCTACATTCTTTGCACCTGATACCAAAGTTTATCCCTACCGATCACATATCACAAAACCACCAACCACCCATTCTTTGCACCATAAGACAAACTGATTTTAGAAGAAATATGACACAAGTTTTATATTTTCTTAGTAAATATATTTTTAAGACTAAACTAGATTTGAGGATTTTATTTTATAATTTTTCAAAGTATATTTGGACATTTTTTGTAAAAAAAAAACTACAGTCTGATTTACCCATATCACATGGCCCTATTTAAGCCCTTGTCATATAGGACGGTTTGTGTGGCGCCACATCAGTAAAACTGCCATTTGAAACAGTTAAAAGTACCATTTGAAGGGAGATTTTCTCATTACTCCTCTGTCACAGCATAATTGCTGGACACCAAACCCTTAAGAAGCTGAGGTACATCATCCCAAGAGGCGTGATCACCACTGGGCAGTTTATAGCCTAAGGAAGCAAGCTCATGAGCTAATTTATTACAGGCACGAGAGCAAACATTAACACTGCACGATATGAACTCCGTCGCCGTCAGGAATTTGAGCTCAGTGATCACACCTCCCATTGGTGGCAGCCAGTAGTCGTCGCCCTCCAAAGTTGCCTTCACCATCGACTGTAGAAGAGAAGAATAGGAGCCAACATCATTGTGTATTGATCTCTTTGAGTATATATGGATTACATCAGGGAGGTTGCCTCTTAGGCAACCAGCGCACGACATGCGCGTGGTGGAGTGCGGTGACCGCGCTCACTGCATGTGGCAGTTTACAACACATGGTCAAAGTGTACATCAAAACATATATCCTTAACATCGACACATCTGTTTCAAGGATGACATGAGCCATACCGATCGAAGCCTCCATTTTCAGTCCTTAGAAACCTCCCAGCAGTTCGGCATGGAACGCACTTTGGATAAATGCCCCTTGCTAACTCCAGCTTTTCTCACCCCACCTTCGTCATCCCTAATCACATACCCCCAGCCACCTTCTCCAGTCTGTGCTAAGAAAGCTCCGTTAGTGTTTATTTTAAGGACACATGACTCGGCTTCCTCCAGCTGTTCGACTGTCTGAAATCCGACAATAGAGATGTCGGTCCTGGTTGTTTCAGCTATCAGTGTGTGTTGCGGCAATGTAAACCACCTCTACATCCAGTCTCCTCCCTCCCCCCCCCCCCTCCATTTGTTTCTTTCACCCCCGCGATAGCCAGAGAAGCATTAACGACTATGACTTGCACCTTCGGCTCCAATTTTAAAATTCCCTCCATCTCCACTGCTGACCCCACCCGGGCTAGATCACAACGTACCTCCTCCAGGTTCAGAGCTCTCCAGGCTTCCTTCACTTGCTTGCATTTCAGCACGAGGTGCCCCACCATCCTCATCTAATCTCCCACACATACAACAACTAGTATCAAGTTTTTGTTGGAAAAAAAACTAGTATCAAGTTTCATACCTCGCCTTTGCAACACCATTCGGAGAGCCAAAGTGTTGCGGCTTAACCTCCATAAGAAGTGTTTTACTTTCGGAGGGCAACCGATCTGCCACAGTTTATTCCAAAACTCTCCCTTCTTTCAGACCGCCCGGTCTGCCGCTGTGCTGATTCCTACGTGCTTGTGCTCTATGCAGCTTGTATGCCGATCTTACCGAGAACCTGCCCTTACTGTCATAATGCCAGGCTAGTAAATCCTCTATCTCTACGGGTCCCTTTGGAACATAAGAATTTCACAAGAATTGTATAAAAATTTCATAGGATTCAGTTTATTTTTCATAGGAAAACACATAGGAACAGGAAAATTTCTGCATTCCAAAGAGGACTGACATGTACTGGTAGCGTCCTGGTCAGCTTTACATCTTCCTCCCAAAACATTTAGTTTAGAAGCTGCACATCCTGGCAACGTATCAGGTGCCAACCATCAACCTGTGCAAACTTGGAAACTACCAATCAGGATCACTAGATGTATCCAATGGATAGGGTAAGAGGTGGGATTTTTTTGCGCTTAAGCCCCCCACCCGCCGGCCTTTTTTTTTGCGCTTAAGCCTCCTCATCCCATCCATTGGATCATCATCTAGTGGTCCTGATCGGTAGTTTTCAAGTTTGCACAGGTGGTTTGCACTTGTTGCCGCACATCCCACTGTTCTGTCACGGGGTCTATTAGCTCTTCCACGCGCTGGAGCAGATTTCTGCAAGTTAAGGGATCCCTCGCACATTGCCACGGCATAGGCTGAAAAATGGTCGAAAGGCCCAGCAACAGCCCACAAACACGAAGCCCTGTTCGCTTGGAGGAATCTGGATGAATCTGGAGGAATATGTGAGAGAAATCAGATATGAACAGTAAAATTCAGTCCGTGAATCTTCAGCACCGTCCGAACGGGGCCGAAATGGGCTGACATAAATAAACAACAACAAACGGCCCATTTGTTCCCAACACAGAACAATGAAAAATCACAGGCATGACGGGGGAAGCTTTCCACTTTCCTGCATTTGGCCGGGCGAATCGAAGTTATCTTCCGGTCAACTGTCCGCCCAGTCAAGTGCAAAAAACACAGTGGAATCACGCAACGCACGCAGCTGGTGTGCTTGCCCACGAGGAAAGAAGAGCGACAAGGTTCAGATTTGACTCATGACCTCGCAATCACCACCCCGTCGCCGCCGGCGGCGGCAGCCGTCGACAGCGAAACCGCAGCCGCCCACCGTCACTACCATTCACTCCCTCGGTGACGACCTCCTCCGCGAGATCTTCCTCCGCCTCCCCTCACTCCCGAGCCTCGTCCGCGCCGCCCTCACCTGCCGCGGCTTTCTCGCCGCAGTCCGCTCCTCCCCCGCCTTCCGCCGCCGCTTCCGCGCCCTACACCAGCCCCCTCTCCTCGGCTTCTTCTTCGAATCCATCGGCGAAGAGGTCCCCTCCTTCTCGCCCATCCGCCGCCGCTCCGACCCGGACATCGCTGCCGCTCTCCGCGGCGCGGATGTCTTCCTCACCCAGTCACCCGGGTACCCTACCACGAAGATGCTTCCCCCGCGTGGACGATCGAAGAGTGCCGTGGCGGCTGCATCCTCCTTCTCAACTGGCGCACCGAGTAGATCGCCGTCTACAACCCCCTCACGCGGGCCCTGGATTTCTTCCCCGCGCCACCCGATGATATCTTCCATGGCTGTCACGGCAAGTTCGACTACCTGGGTTTCTTCCTGCTCTACTCCGACCAGAGCCCGGACTCGTTCCGCGTGGTCGCCTCCTGCCACAAGTCGAGGGTGCGCGCTTCTGTCTTCTCATCGGACACTAGGGAGTGGCAAATTCTCCCCTGGTCGGAGACCGCCCCAGCACAGCCGTCAGGCAAGAAGCACTGGCTTCTCAGTGGCACGCAGGTGAACGGGAATCTGTACTGGGCACACGCCGAACATGCCTACATTGTGGTCATGGACACGGCAACGCGGCAATTCTCCTGTATCGATCTGCTGGAGCACTTGAAAGGGCAGGGCTATCTCTACAATCTCGGGGGGACCAAGGATGGGAAGCTCTGCATCGTGTCCGTAGCTGGATTTACACTATACACTTGGTTCCGGAGAGTAGATGCTAGCGGTGCTGAGGAGTGGATGCTCCACAATGTGATACCGTTGGAAGGAGAGATTCTTCAGGCTACCGAGATCCCAGAAGATGAACTTTGTGAGCACGGGCTCCAAGTGTTCGCATTTCTTGATGGCATTGTGTTTATGTCGATATATGGAGAAGATATTTTGCCTTCTTGGTTCCTTTCCTTCTGCCTGGAAACAAGGAAACTGGAGAAGCTGTTTAAAAGGACATTTGACCACATTGTGTATCCGTACACATGGGGTGGCCTACCTTTTTGATTGGCAATGATAATGATATGGCACTTGGCTCAGGTGTTAAGTCTAGTGTGAAACTGGTTAGGGTAACTTAAGAGGAAGGTGGAAACTTGGTTTGGTAAAGTTTATTACTATCCCCTATCATATCGGTTGCTCCTATGCTTTATTTATGTCGATGTAATTTGTTCTAGAATTCTAATATCTATCCTATTGAACTGGTTCTTACTACATATTTGTTAGCATTAGCAGTACAATTTTCTCTTCATATTGGAACTGTTATTACAATGCCTCCATCTAAGTCTCTGGGTTGTGCTAGGTTACAGAGTTTCTTTTGTCTGTGTCAAAGCAAATGAGGTTTAAAATTTTGAGAAGCTTTAATTCCTGTAACATAAATATTGAACAATGCAGCGTCAGCTACCCACCTGGCCAATCTTTTGTTTCCAAATCAACCCAAACCCCAGCATGTCCAAGGAACACAAGAAAAATGTAATCCGTAATCCTGTAAGGTAGCTGTACTTCCACATGCGCTGCATCTGTGGAGCTAATTAACCCCCATATCAACAGCTTGTCAATTACATTTACAGCGCCATGTTTCCTAGGTATTACTGTCATAGTTTCATGTCACTGTCACTGCTAAGAATAAGGTGAGTCACTTTATCTTGCAGCTAGTACTTTGCATACAGATCAGTGAGATCCTCTGCTAAACTCAAATGTAGTTGCTCCTGCAGAAGTATTCTTTTTTGCCTGCAATAAAATTTTGTAACGATCTTATTCTTATATGTTATGAAAAACATGCCAGTGGATCCTAGAAAAGATATTGTGAATTTGAACTTTTATGCTTCAAAGTAAAAATTTGTAATTACAGGTACCGGCACAATTTCAAATTTTCACATGGGCAGCTGTGCAAAGTGATGTATTGCATCAGTTTTAAACATTGAAGTTTATGTTTCATAGTTGAATTGGTAACCTCCAAAATTTTTGTAAAGTGGTTTTATATAATTTTTCTGATATCTGAACCATTGTGCAGTAACTATTTAGCCTTTACCACATTCTTGATCTAGTAATTCCTAAGGTCACGCCATGATATTCAATAAAATCATCTAACCTTATTGCCATCAACTGTGGTCTCCTGAATGGCAGTTCATGGTAACAGATTCTTCAGTGTAATGCTTTGTCAGAAACAAAAGGTATTAAGACTTAATATTTTACCTTGGAACCGGAAGAAGTCTCTTAAGTTTGTTAGCCATTGTGCATCCCAAGAAAAGGTGTTAAACATTTTTTATTCTAATGTTAACAAGTCACATATGTGTGCCATTTCCTTTTTATTATGTTACCAGGCCAACAAAATTCCTTTCTTTTTTGTTTTTGTTTTTGTTTTTGGCTTTCCAGATGTGAGCGAAAGATATGTTAGCATTATTTCTCAGGTCATTTATACATGGATTTACAGGGGTGATTCAGAATTTCCCCCATTTCCATCGAACCATATATTTCATCTTTGTTACTACTAGTTAAGTGCAAGCCAATCCATTTGTTGAATATCATTGCATTGACATTGATGCTGCAAGATGTCCATTCCATTTGTTGAATACCGTCCCATTGTTGTGCAAGATGTCAAGTAACCTCTTTAGAAAATGCAACTCATAGCTTCTTATCCCGGGGGGTAAATATGTCTAGAACATGGCACATCACACTGAGCGGTCCATTTTGCAATTTGAATTGCTCCACCCCTCATGTACTTTTTTTTAACGTTTATTATCAAATCACTCCAACAAGGACAATCACCGAAGGTGTAATTAAACTTTAAATTGTAAGGGAACTCTTCGATCAATTTATTTTGTGTCTCAGTGATTTGTTTCGTTTGGACGGAACCAGAAAAACTAGCGCCGCAGCCTGTGTAGGCCCTGCATGAAGCCTTATTTTCCCCTTTATTTACTTGTACCGTGACACACCTGGTTACATCTTAAAGATGAGACTTTTCTCTGTGTGCCATTATAAAAGATCGTAATCCTTTGTGTGCCCCTGAAAAAATTCAGCGGTCTTCAGCGTCACTACTCCAACTTTTTCGGGTCCTTCATGCCACTTCTCGAATCGACCTCTAACGCCAAAATCTTGTGAAAAAATTCTTAAATATGTTATTAATTTTTTTGAGCATCTTATGACTTCAAATGAAAAAACTCAAAACTAGAAAGTTATAGATCTCGTCGAGATCTATAATTTTCATTTAAAATTATTTTCATTTAATTCCATAAAAAAATATGATGATTTTTCTAAGATATATTAATCATATCAAATCATATTTTTTTTGCGGAATTAAATGAAAATAATTTTTATATGAAAATTATAGATCTCGATGAGATCTATAACTTTTTAGTTTTGAATTTTTTCATTTGAAGTCGTTAAGATACTTAAAAAAAATTAATAACATATTTGAACTTAAGAGCATTTTCGTCTTTTCACACCTGCAGTTTGACGGCGTTAGAGCCTTAACTGACGGAAGTGGCATGGAGGACCCGAAAAAGTTGGAGTAGTGGCGCTGAAGACCGCTGAATTTTTCCAGAGGCACACAGAGGATTACGATCTTTTATAATGGCACACAGGGAAAAGTCTCCTGAAAGATTAAGGTGAACTGGTATGATAACATGCATGTCATTTAGTGTTCCTCGTGTGTATGCTATCTTAGTAGTATCTGTTATCTTGAAAGAATTGAACTATAAGATATTAACATAGAAATTTACATATTGGAAGCATTACTCTCATGCATAGGCCGCGCGAGAGAGAGCCATGGGCACAGGGCACCTGCTGTGGTGTTTGGGAGGGCACCTGCTGTGGTGTTTGGGAAGATGCGCTCAGTCCGACGGTTTGGTTTGGACAATTGAAGGTGCGCCAGTGGACCTGTGTCGATACAGGTGGACGAGAGTTTCTGGGAAGATTTGTGGCCTTCTGGGCATCCAAAGGCCCTATTCGCGTGTCCTTAAACTTGACTTGATTCACTTTTTTTTTATTCGGAATAATATTTTTTTCTCATAAATTTCTTCAGATTCATCCAGATTCCTCCAAGCGAACGGGACAAAAAATGTAGAACCTGCAGTGCAGACCATTGATCTTAGATATATATTTATTTTAGAACGAATATAGAATTTATTTTAGGACGGATACATATTTATTTTAGGACAGAAAGAGAGAGCATATATATATATATATATTTATTTTATTATTAGGACAAAGAATTGATGCTTCTAAGATGTTTATATCCTTAGGACAGAGGGGGTAGATGTTTTTAAGGAGGTGTCATATCCATGAAAGTAAGATTGATCATGGTAGTAACATTTGGACTTAAAAGCATAACTGTGTAACTTATCTTATTCCATCTTGTCATGCATGGAACGATATTTCTTCTACTTTGTCTCATGAACACAGGATTATTAAAAGGTGGTTACAATGCACATATACAACAACACGGCTGCCGTTTATTCTTCTTCGTTACTTTATTCTGTATAATATGTACTACTTATTGGAAGTCCACAAACTTGGCAGGGCGCCAGCCGGAAGAGCTGCCTAGTGCTGACCGGGGAGCTTCTCCTTGATTTTCTCCACGAAACCCTTCTCATGCGTCCCCTCAGTCGTCGTCGTCGTCCCGTACGTGTCGTCGGTGGTTCCGCCATAGCCGCCGCCGGTTGCCCCGGTGGTGTGCTGGTGCTGGTCGTAGTCCTTGTGGCCACCCGGGATTTTCTCCTTGATCTTCTCCATCACGCCCTTCTTCTCGTGGGTGCCTCCGGTCGTCGGCGCGAACGCCCCGCCGGTGGTTCCTGTACTGGTTGTCGGCCCAGCCCCAGTGTATCTTGTCCCGCCGTATGCTCCGGTTGCCGTCGCCTGGCCCTGGTTGTCCTTGTGGCCTCCGGGCATCTTCTCCTTGATCTTCTCCTTTAGGCCCTTCTTCCGACGCCCACCCATGCCATCATCTTCAGATGATGACTGCACGACAAGATTCTTGCGTGTTTAGTCGTCAAAAAGCTCTCGAGGACACAAAATAAATAGTGGGAGTGCAAGAGCGTGAAAATATATAGCAATAATGAAGCAAGAAATTAAACGCACCGAGCTGGAGCTGGAGCTGCCGGAGCGGCGTAAGATGCCGCCTGTCTTGTGCTCAGCTCCATGGGGGAACGCGCCGCCGGTTCCAGTTATGCCTGTGCCGCCGTGACCCGCCGTGCCATGGCCGGGCATGCCGGTGCCGATGTGCCCTCCTCCGCCCAAAACCCCGGTGTCATGCATTCCAGTGGCACCATGCGCACCGTGACGACCGGTGCCGGTACCATGGGTGCCCATGCCTGTTGCACCATGCATACCACCAGCGTGCCCGACGCCGCCGGCGCCGTCCTGGAATCCGGCCACGCCATGCGTACCGTGAGCTCTGGTACCTGTGGCTCCATACCCTCCTGGGCCACCAGAGCCGCCATAGCCCCCGGCGTCATGCGTGCCGGTGCCAGTGGCGCCGTACCCGGCCTGCTGGCCGCCGCCGTAGCCGCCGGCGTCGTAGCTGCCGGTGCCCGCGACGCCGTACCCGCCGGCTTGACCCTGAATACCATGGCCCCCAGGGATCGGGTTGCCGTACTCGTCAACTTGCTGCCGCCTCCCCTGCTCGTAGTGCGCCATACTTTGTCCTCTCTAGCTCGTCTCGATCGCTTTGGCTAGCTTTGCTGAGCTTACTTGCGTGTGTTACTATGCTCGAGATGGATGAAACGGACGAGGCCAAATGTGTTTATTATTTATAGACGATGCGTGCGTGCAACGTGTTAGAATTGGCAGCTCGACACGTCGCAGCTACGTGTCCTGCATGCAGGGAGCTTGATGTCGGTCGCGTAGGCAGTCGAGTGGACGCGTGGGCTGTGGTCGGGCTGCCTGCGTACGTATGTGTTGGTAGGAGTACTAGAAGGACCGGAGCGGTGTCAACGTGGGATTGCTGTAGCGAGCGTAAATTGTCTGTCGCCGACAGCAAGAGGAGATAAGCAAACTGGAGCAACGTCACT